TCACATGGAACTTAGTAGGATCCCAAAGAAAGTGGCCATTTGGAAGACCTAGCGGTAGAGAGGAGAATGAGACTTGCATGGAATGTGAAGACGTAGGGTTCGAGAATGTGGATTGCATTCGAACGTGTTTAGTGGTAAGGTCTCGTGAAGACGGTAATGATTTTTCGGATTCCACAAAAAGGGCGGTGATTCTCTCTCTCAGCGGAGTGGCTCTCGCCTTCCAAGAGGATCCTTCCTCCCTGGAGTTGGCTGCCTGGAGGAAGTGTTGCAGAACAATAAACATATATGTAAGATTTGAGGCTTTCACGGCGGTGACTATGAAGAAAGCAGTCTTCTGGGATTTGGCACCGTGTATATGTGGTGTTAACCGACGTTTCGGAGGAACGTATCGCCTCCATCTTAAGGGTAGAAGATAAAATATAAGAAATCCACTTTTACCGGTTCTCACGGTCTCTTCGCTTGCGGATTTCTTATAGTTTTCCTTCTACCCTGAAGATGGAGGCGATACGTTCCTCCGAAACGTCGGTTAACACCACCTATACACGGTGCCAAATCCAAGAAGACTGCTTTCTTCAATAAACATATAGTCTGCAATGTTCCTGGAAAATAAATGGGATGATAATAAAATTTTAAATTGAAGAAGAGCAAAGAATTCCTGGATATATCAGACGAAGTGCTGAAGATTAAGCATGCAGCATGCATGCCCGTTGGAAATAACAACAGAAGGAAACGTAATTATGTGAACGAATTATGCAAGAAATAAGGCAATAGAAAGATTACGACTGGATGTGAGGTAGGGTGAGATTGCGGACTGAGTAGAGAACCAATAATATACCGCGAGGTTTGCACTCTTTGTCTTCAGTACAGTTTCATAATGCACAAATAAAATAAATAATTGGTACTCATATTGAAATATAATTAATACGAAAGTCCGTGAACCAAACGTTAATAAACTCATAAAGAAGCGTATTTCAAACACAATATTCCGTGACTAATAATAATGGGTTCTGGATTGTAAGATTGAATTTATTATCACTTCTTTACAATTACAATCAATTATATCAGATCATAATCAATGACTGTCTGAGACTCGCTCCATTCCTTGCTGGACTACGAGTGTTTTTCTTCCACTGCGATGGACTTGGTTCTGATTTACGTATTGGTCACTTCTTAATTTTCCGTCGTCAGCAGGTTAACACTCCACAGCTGAACACTGAACTACTGAGCTGTCTTCTCAATTCTCTTACGAATGAATCATTGAATTCTTGTGAACTGAACTGAACTCTCGTGAACTGACTCATGTGTCCTTATAATTCTGGGCGGAGAGAACAGAGGTCGCTGCCTCTAACAGTTCGTCTGTTACTGTGTCTCTTCTTTACCGCGGGAACGTGCTTACCGAACTGTTGCCCAGCAATGGACTATTCAGCGTGTATTCGTTTCAGCTGGAACGTGTTTACCGAACCGTTGCCCAGAAATAGTAACATTCGTCACGATATAATAATGTTAGAATCGTAAACTAAATATAATTTTGATTTTAATATAATGTTTTAATTTCAGTATGAAATGACGAATTTTGAAAGATAAAAAAGGATTAAAACCAACACTCACGCCTATACCCACGTTCTATAAGTGATCTTATCAGGGTGACATCCTTGTACATATAAATTGCATATCCCGCGTGTGCCTGTGCTTCCAAGCAAATACCGGTATATGGGGTGCAGTCATAACAACTGTTTTCTTAAAACAGCGCTTCTCATATCCCTTCAGTTCCTAATTCCCTTCTGTTGACCTCGCAGTGACATTTCTATGGGTTATGTGGGTGTCAATACAGCACATCCCACGTTATACCATTATGGGCGGAGAGTCTATATACCAGTTTACGTTATGATGTGTAATTCGACTGGAAGGTCAATCCTGCCTCGAGTTCAGTAGAACATGTAAAGCTGGCAACTCACGTTCTAGGAGACTATCCTGTGGACAGGCCACCTAAGTAAATACGAGATAAGGGAACACCATTTTGGCTCCTGGTCGCTTTGGTTTGTTTCAACTGTTTGCCCATTTTGATGTACCAATATTGTCACACTTAGGGTGGAATATAAATTGATTGTTAATCGTGGATTGTATTTGCTAATGTTCTGTTTTGTTTCAAGGTTAGTGGCTATTGTGATTGAAATCAGTCGATCAGTTGACTGAATATTAAGCTATTTAACGTCATTGTTTGAACTAATGTTGGCTGGGTCTCTTGTCACAATTGAATGGGATTAGGGTAGAGACTGCCTGCAGATAAGGGGGATAGTCCTAAATATACTGAATGAGTTACGGGTACCAGACAAGTTGTGGTAAGGGCGATAACAAACCCTCACACAAGAAACTTCCATTATTATGAAATGTTACATACCAAAACTATAATACTATCTGTAGTTTTGTATCAGTATGTGAATTGGTCGCCGATCACTATGGCCACGCGGTGTGAGGCGTGGACTGTCTTCGCTCGCTCAAACGCTGGGATCATAGGTTCGAATCCCACTCGAGACATGGATGTCTCTGTGTACGTTTATTTTGTTTGTGTTGTCCTACGTGTAGGTAGCGGCCTTGCGACGGGCTGATCACTCGTCCATGGAGCCCTACCGACTGTGTAAAAAAAGATTACGAACCTGAAGAAGAGACCAGGGCCCGACAAAAGGCTGTGGAGCCATTGATGAATGAATGTAAATTGGTCGCTCGCCCTGAAATTATTGATTTATTGAATCTGGAAATAAATGTTGGCTGGCAAGAATATGAATCCAGGAGAGAGGAAATAACAGGAGGGTGGGTATAATTACATAACGAAGAGGTTTATAATTTGGATTCATTACCAAATATTCTTAAAGTGATACAATCGAGAACAATATGATGAACGGGCATGTAGCACACATGAGGAACATCAGAAATTCACGGAAAATGTTCAGTTGGATAGCCTGAACGGGGGAGATGACTTTGGAGGCCTAGTCACCGATGGGAGGATAATATTGCTACGTGTACATCCACTGCTAGGCAACGTGTTGGTAAACAAGTTCATGCGGAGAAAAATTATTTGTAAACATTCTATTGCTTTGTTACGCAACAACAAATGAGGCTGTGTTTTCTATGTCGTCTGAGCTGAGCAGCGGTGGAACAACTGGATTATGCAACCCGCTTCTAAACAACGGCTCTGTAAAGGCACTTCCGCGTAAGCAATGACGTCAGCAACAACAGAAACAGTGTTTTCAGTGGGTTCTGTGCAGAGTGTTTATAAGGGAAGCGAATGCAGAAGCAAGCTCAGTTCAGGCAGTTACGAGTCAGTCGTGAGTCTAGGAGAACTTTTAGTTCTGATGTTCCAGAATGATTGAAGACGAAACAGCAAGCAGACTTCATAGTGATTTGAAATGCTAGTTTCTGTGCTGAGATCCGTTGCCAGGATACGACTGTGAAAACTGGGAATCCTAGTGCGTGTACGTGTGTTGATAAATCCAATCATCCGAACTAGAGCCCGATATATTCGTCACGCGTACCACCCTACTCGTGACAATATTACAGGGGAATTTTAGAGCATAAATGGTAGGATGGCATGTACTGTCTTCGCTCGCTTGGAAACCGGGATCGTGGGTTCGAATCCCACTCAGGGCATGGATGTTCAGTTTGTGTCTGTCCGTTTTTCTGTGTTTGTGTACAGGTAGAAACCTTGCGACGAGCTGATCACCCGCCCAAGGAGTCCTACCGAATGCGTAAGATCTAGAAAAACCGAAGTGAACGGAGAAGTTCATGGAGGTAGGCCTAGGCCCACTGGGGATGTAGTGCCAAGGAGAAAAAAGGGTAGGATAATTATTTGGACAGATGCAACATCTATAATTCAGTCGTGAAACGTACAGGCATGCGCAATTTATTAATAGAGTTCCAAGACTCCAATTAATTTGAAACTGGAAGCAGGGAAGGAGAAGCAACGCAACTGGTGATGGCGAGAACAGGGAATATGTTTGGGACTGCAAATTCGTGTAGCCCTTGTAAGCAATGTATGAACGAGAGTATAAGAGAGTGAGAAAATTTAATCCATATATGTGGCAATATGTATACCATTTAAACTATACATTAGCACTCAAATTATATTAATTTCAAAGTCATTGCTATGTCCACCAGAACCCGCCACATGACCCTACCCCGTATCAGGTTAATCTAATTCACATCCTGTTTCTAAGTTCATTTCAATAATATCTCCTCGAGTGGTCTCAATTGTCAAATTTTCCAGCTAATAATTTATATGTATTCCTTATATCACCACCGCCTCCTCCACGTCTTTCATCTTAATGTGATCATCCTAAAAGTGTCCGGAAAGAAAGATTTAATAATTATGAATCTCCTCATTATACAACGGTCTCTACCAATTTGTTACTTCGTCTCTCTGAAATTCGAACCACCTCTTCATCACTTCCATCTCAAGAACTTTTAATATATGTTCCACCCTTACAGCAGAGGACCACGATACACACTCATCTAAAACAGGTACTTAACTAAGTACTTCTCCACAAAACGTATGGAGGATGGATGTATAGATCGAAGTATTCTTAACCTCGACACTAGTTGGAGGTGAGTGGTTAGCTTCACACCCCGCGGAAAGAGCCGCCGTTACCCTTTGCATGGAGATGTGGAGAGGAGAAAAATTTTTGCCTCTCCCAGGATTCGAACTCCGACCCCTTAGCCTTCCAGCCCGTAGTCAGTCACTCTACCGATTGCCCTATACCGGCCCATTATTATAGTTAAACATATTTAAATAATTAGGATTTCAGGTAGGAAAACAAAAGGTAGATGATTCTGAACTGAACGGTAGCAAGCACTTCCCGAATCTCATTTGCTCTAACTTCTCTTTATACCGATACAAGATGCCTTTGCTGATATCCCACAGGACAGCAATGCTATCAGCGACTAGTGAGGTGTGAAGCCGCAAATGTAAAGAAAATGAGGCTGACGTGTTGTCTCGTGTGTTGCAGTACACTGACTGGGAACACTTGGGGGACGGATACATAAACCAGAAGAAGATTGCAGAGATCGTGGGCGACTACTTCTTCATCTGCCCCACCAACCTGTTCGCCGAGAAGTTTGCGGAGCAAGGCACCACGGTTTACTATTACTACTTTACACAGGTGAGGCCAGTCTTGAGGTTATCATTGTCTGACTTTGCTGTCCAAGGTTTCAGAGAAAATATCAGTCTACATGTTCGGAAAGAAGATCCTAATAGCATAGCCCTCCTTGAATTAAACAATGCGTATTGAAATTGACGATATTCAGTGTTTTGTATTTCTGGCTCTTCTACAACAATCCTACAAACTTAAGGTTTAAAATTTGATATAATTTCTTCAGATTAAAAACTAACGTCTCTCCGATCTGAAAGGGATTTCAGTTCGTCCTATTGGAATCTCTGTGTCAAATTTTGCTGTTCGTTGTCGCGCTTTCAGTTTTCAAGAAGCATCTCTGAGAAGTAAAAGGACTAATTTCCTTTTCTACTGTGAGTCTGACTGAAATAAAGGTCAGGCATCAAATAAAATTCAACACCTCCGCCCCTCCGTTCTCAACTTAGCTTCCTTATAACTTCAGTTTCACCCTGCCCCACACAACTCCCTTCCAACTGTTTCAAAGGTGAAGAATTCCGAGAGAATACTCTGGGTAGCTCATGTAAATGACAGAGAGATACAATGCATTGGTAGTCGAATAAATGTTGTTTGGAATCTTAGAAATAAAACAACAAAAATAGAGCAAGTAGAAAATTAAGCACTTTGTTGCAGCAGTGATATTAAATTGTGAGCAGCCGAAGGACAATAAATGTATGAATTATTTCTTAATAAATATATAGTCGTTAATTACTTTATTTATCAGAGGCGACAGATGTAGTAGGTTTAAGGAGGCAACAGACACGCATGCCGGAAAGTGATGACGTACTGGTGTACGCTGAATGAGAATTGAACATTGGAGGACGAACGCAGTATGTAAGAAAGGATAAATTTATTGTATGAAATTTATAAATAAAAATACTAATTTAATAACAGACTTCATGTATGGATAGGAAAAATTATATGTTTTAAAGAAGAGATAATGGGGCAAAACAGGGAGTCTTCTGCTGATAATGAATGTGTTTTTCTGGGTTACTTAGCGACGTTTTCAGTAATAGATGAAATACGAATTTGAAGAGAGCGGCCGTGGCCCAATCGCTGTAGTTTCCCGGCATTTTACTCGAGCAACTGAAGAAAAATCACAGTCAGGATAGCCTGTTTCTCGAGCAAGATTAGAACCGAGTACCCTCGAATACGAGTCTAGATCACTGTTTCTACGAGAACACCGTGAATAGAAGAATGGTTGTGGCGTAAAGGAAGCGGATAGGTAAAGAGAAGTGTGTTGGAGGAGCATTAGTACAACAGGGAACTGGTAATCAGATGGGACCTAACCCATACAACGTCACAGGGTCGTACTGTAACGCACACAGGAATTATCAAACAATCAATGCCACTATAAATAAAGGTTGGAGAAGGAAATGCTTATGATTATTCTCGCCACAGTATATTTATACAGACCATTCTGTTAAAATCCCAAAGACTCATATTTCAGAGTTTAACTGGACACAAGTATTTCAGGGCGTTACTGAGTGATGAGTTTTGTAATAACTCTGAAGAACTTTGACTTTCCGTAGTAATATTTAATACCTCGCATCTGAGAAACCACAGGCCGATTAACGCTGGTTCTGCAGCAAGAAGGACACGTTGTTGCATTAGCTGAGTGTACGTGAGAATGACGTCACATATTCAGCAGGCATTTCAACGAAAATGTCACATTGATCATGAAATAACTGCGAATACAATTGTTCGTGATTCCTTATCGTGATGGAAGGTAACATCGCGAACTTCGATTTGCTTTACGGATCGATAGTCTATAAAGCGGCGAGAGTTATATAGGCCAGAGGATGCACAGTCAAACAAACTACAGTGACATGAATCATGCTGCCAAAGTAAAAGGGAGCCCAAAAAACAAATTCCGGAATTTACCCACCTTGTCCTAAAGCGTACTTTGAATGAATGATCATGAATCTGTAGAGTTAGTGGCTTTGTTGGTCTGTTCAGTGAATTATTCAAAAACGGAAGACAAGAATTGAATTATCTAGGGGATTTGATACCGCATCTTTCTTCTTCGTTCATTTAACAACGCTTCCTCAGTTATATGTGTCATATACTGTCAAAGAGAAGCTGTTAGTGAGGACGTGAAAGGAAGAGTTCCTCAGGCCGCGCCATAGCTCAAGCGGTTAATCACTGGATTCCCACCTCGGCGTCTCGCGTCCGATCCTGGGTCTGGTCAAGTGGGATTTGTGGTGGACAAAGTGGCGCTGCGGCGGGTTTTCTCCGAGTACTTTGGTTTCCCCTGACAATCGTCATTCCATCAAATTCTCCATCATCAGAATCACCCGGGGCAGGCTACAATAGGCCAATCTTTGGCCCCCGTACCGAGTGGACCCAGTTGGAATCCACCCCCCACTAAGAGATTAAAAAAAAAAAAGAGTTCCTCGCCAAATTTAAGGCATTTGGCCAGAATTCGGCTAAGGTACCTTTAGAGAAAAGTACGAAATCCCATTGAGCTGAGCCGAGTTGCAGGCCTGCAGTCGATTGGGTTTCCTTTCGAACCCGGACCACATGTTTTGAACACCTAGTTTTGAATTTAGACAGGAGAATGCAAGATAGTTATGAAGTAGTGTGTCAGGGTTACGGGGGGATGATTTTGAACATATAAAACCCATAAAAATAATGAGTATTTAAAAGAGGGCACAGAAGAATATTTGGGCCAACGAAGAGGGAGTAATATCATGATATGGAAAGTCACCGTTGCACAGCGAAGATGTACGATATAACTCCCCACGAAACGTCGGAAGCTTCTAATAACGCAATGTGAAGAGTACACAGCACCAAGAGATCTTTAAGAAACATAGGAGTAGAGGGATCGCCGTGATCAGGCGGCAACTTCTCCGACATATGTATCACGCGGGTGCTCTAACTAATACTGGTAGGCGTTGTTACTGGAAGGTTTCTCATGTGGAGGGACATGTTCTGATACAAAATGAAAAGAAAAGAACGATATTGTGAGCACTGATATTTGAGTCAGTTATGTTATGAAACTCATCTGTCTCACCAATGCCGCACAGATGCAGGAGAGATTATATCCGCTCACCTTAGATCGCTACACATCTTCCTTTCTGGCGATTTTGCTAGCGCGCTCTTGAGTGTGAGGGTATGACTGAGTATGAGTGTGAGGGTATGACTATGAGTATGAGTGTGAGGGTATGACTATGAATATGAGTGTGAGGGTATGAGTATGAGTGTGAGGGTATGACTGAGTATGAGTATGAGCATGAGTGTGAGGGTATGACTGAGTATGAGTGTGAGGGTATGAGTATGAATGTTAGGGTATTAATATGAGTATGAATGTGAGGGTATGACTGAGTATGAGTGTGAGGGTATGACTATGAGTGTGAGGGTATGACTGAATATGAGTGTGAGGGTATGACTGAGCATGAGTGTGAGGGTATGAGTATGAGTATGAGTGTGAGGGTATGACTGAGTATGAGTGTGGGGGTATGAGTATGAGTGCGAGGGTATGATTGAGTATGAGTGTGGGGGTATGAGTATGAGTGTGAGGGTTTGAATCTGATTATGAGCGTGAGGGTATGACTATGAGTATGAATGTGAGGGTATGAGTATAAGGGGTGGGACAAAGAATCCGGCCCTCAAACCGCGACCTTCAATGATCTATGAGTGTGAGGGTAAGATGGACACGCACCGGCAGTCGCTCGACTCTACGCAAATCTGTTAAGCAAAGTGACGAGAAAGGAGGAGCTGAGACCGGCCTTACCCTGTCATTAAAACCTCTTTTCTCTGCTCCACCATACAATCACCATATCACAAACGATGTGAACAAATTTTAACCGGCATCGATATGTGCTTGAGTTAGAGATTTGTTCAAGGCCGTTCTATAGCTCAGGCAATTAATCGCCAGTTTCCCACCGCGATGTCCCGGCTTCGAAACCAGGTCAGGTCATATGGGATTTGTGGTGGACAAAGTGACACTGGGGCAAGTTTTCTCCCAGTACTTCGGTTTCCCCTGCCAATTCTCATTCCACTAACTGCTCCATATCCATCATTATCTATCGTCCCGGGCTGGCACAATAGGCCATTTAGTGGCTGACGTACCAAGTAGACTGTCTCACCCAACCCCAAGAAACTTAAAAAAAACTAGAGTTTTCTTTCATTCTGGTGAAATTTTGCTACTAATACAGATATTGCCTAGGAGTGCCATGCCGTGGTAGAGAGGGTATCACCTTACACAGAGTGTGCAGATGTGAAAAAAAAACTGTCGTTCTTAAATCTGTCACTAAAACTATATCCATGATTTTTAAAGATGAAGAGGAAATATTTGAACGAACTCGTCACTAAGCAACTATGACTGGTGTCACGGCAAACCTCGTTACAAACAGGAACCAATATCAGAAATTTACTTACACGAGGCACCTTATATGATTTATTACACATTTCAGAGATAAGGGCTCACAGAATGTATACACGAATGTCTGACTCAATAGTGCACGTGGCTACTTTATTATGGGCATACCTCTCACCTGGAATTATTTTCGGTGAAACTGAAACTGGACAACATTTCTGAGGTCGAGAGAGCTCTTCTGATATTGCAGCCCTTTTTACATTAACATATCGCTTTCTGCAGATTCTTCAACCTTATTTTTATTAGTACTCTGTATCTCCGAGATTTTCTGAGTTCAGTTTCGGCTGTTCAAGTAAGAAGCTGCCTTCTTGCTAGATGTGAATAAGCTATTAATGTTGTTAGTACCGACGATCCTATTATAACGGATTCGATCAAAGCGTTGCCAGGCAACAACTGGCCGCCTCTCACTTCTCACACCCTCGAACCCACCCCCTTGTCTGAAATTTTTCTTCTGCGCATTCAAGGTTACTCTTGGCCTTGTTCGAAGTTACGTGACACTTGCTCTACCCATCTACTGTCCGCCTCTTTTCAGTCTGTGCTCCTTGTCTCATCATCTAGGATTTGCCATCATAATCATATTTCGTGAATAATACAGTACTTGTTTACCACTGTA